AAACCCAGCCTGGTTAAAACTTTAAAGGAAAGAGCAGCAATTTTACAGTGAGTAACATGTCAGGAATGGGTAAGTGCGAATTACGGGCATCCGATACAAATGGCAAGTGAAAAGGTGTATGTGAGTGATAGGGGAAGCTGAAGGAATTAATGAAAGGCTCCACAGCTTTGCAGACAGTGGAAGCTTAGGGCACGCATGGGGCCATTTCAAGAGGCAGAGAGGCAAGTCAGTAACAGCACAGCAGAAATATCAGCTGCCTTCAGTGTCTACTTCTGATTGCTTTTCTATTTCGGGATAGGTCCTCTTATGGAAAAGTACTGATGCACGGGCACCTTCCACAGCCACCACGTTTACTTTCAGCCTTCTCCAAACCGGGAAAGCTCTGCAGCCACAGGGTGTGAAGAGGAGGAGCGGCTGATAAGCCTCTGGCCCTGATTTCCACAATACTGACTCAGCGGACCAGCTCCCTCTGAGGCTGCTGCTGCCACCACACCACTGCTGGCCTGCCAGGAAAGATGCGACTGGCGTGACTTTGCAAGTTGGCAGATCCACAGGTGAGTAGGGGCTAGCAGGTCCATGGCCAGAGGCAGGCTGGCGAGGGGCAAGGGGTGGCAAGGTGCCGTGCCCCCTCCGGCAGCCATCACGCCTCCTTCTTCTCCGCCGTGAGCTGCGCCAGCCGGGGTGCAGCTGTGTGCAGCAGCATGAGGCCGCAGAGCATCACGGCGAGGCCGACCCACCACAGAGGTGTCCACGTCTCCCCGAAGAGAAGCTTGCCCAGGATGGCCTGAAGGAAAAGGCAGAGACAAAGCTTTGCTGGGCCAAGCTGCCCCAAAGCCTCCTGCGCTGCCAGAGCTGCGGGGACTTCTGCTGGGAGAGCCGGTCCTGGAAAAAACCTGCTTGAGGAAACTCCTGCTGGGACCACCAAGAGAAACGGCTGCTGGCGGTGACGCCAGTGACAACCTACGCTACCATCCAGCCTAGAAGCACAGATTGCGGTCCCAAAACAGGATTTTGGCAGACATGCGTGTGCTTTGCTGCCTTCCCAGCACCTCTTGGGAGCCAAATGACCAGTTGACCAGGCAACTCCAGTCGATAAAAAAAGGGGCCCCACTGACTTGAGTTTTGGATACCACCATGAGCTGGCTGTGAGTTGTTGGAGCACAGAAACAAGGTGGACAGCTGCTGAGAAAAGCGAGCAGAAAAAACGCGCAGGTCAAAAATGCTCTTGCTGACACTACAGGCAGCGTGTCTTCACATCCAGCTAGGGTGGCTTTGGCTTGTCACAGGTGAGGTGTTGCAAAGGAAAAGCAAAACAAAGCAAAGCTCCTAGCTCCGGCTCTCACTGGCAATTAGAAAAGTTCGGTAATCTGTACAGCTGCTGCAAGGCACTGCACTGGGCAGCAGCGCCCTTCCTCCTGCACCACCCAGAGAAACCCTACAGCCTCTGCAATGAACAACAGGCAGAGCAGCTGAGGCCCGATACAATAATTTCACGTCTGCCTGTAACTCTCCCTTTGCAGCCAGCAATGCCAGTCATGCTGGGAGGTGAGCTATGACCAGTCACGTCCAGTGTGACCGTTCCCACATCGCTGTGCTCCTCCAGGCTTCAGCGCCTGTGGAAGGGATCTACTCACCGAAGAGATGAAGTTGGAGGCTGTTGTCGTCACAGAGGCAGTGGCTGAGGAAGAGGAGAGCCTCAGGGCTTTTGCAAAGACCGTCCACATCACTGCATTGCATGCAAACACCAAGCCAAAACAGCCAATGCGAAGCAGCACAGGCAGCTGTAGGACGAAAGGGAAAACCCTATGTATTTTCACTGACTGCTCATTCACCCTCACTGTTTCACGGGCACTTTGGAGCAAAACCTAACAGCATAGGCTGGTATTACATGAAGATGAATATACCAAATCGCAGAAGGAACCAGAAGTGAGGAAACAGCCCTGGATGGAGCATGACCCTGGCACGTCCTGCTGCGAGTCCAGGCTCAGACCACAAGCTGAGAAGTGCCAGGACGGTGTACAGCAGCTGCCATGCCAGAAGTCAAACCCCAGAAAGCTCTCAAGCTTTTGACATGGTGCACGTGCAACCCAGTGAAGTGTCCTTCACTCATCGCTAGATGTATGGAAAAGGGTAGAATTCAGCCCTGCCAGGGAGGAACGCTGAAACTGTACGTGCTGGCGCTGCGTGTGGTCCAGGACCCATCGGTTGTGAATTCAGGCTGAGACCAGTGTGGTCCCAAACGACTGGCCCTCACCACCTCCCATGACCTGGCCTGCCTTACTGCTGCAGTGAGGGCAGAGCAGAGTCCTCTGGGAGGAAAGTGAAAGCTGAGGGGCTTTGTGCCTTATTTTGCAGGCTCGCTGGAGAGCAGGTTTACCGAGAACTCTGTGCTCCAGTGTTTAGTGGCAACAAAACCACCTCTGAATTCAAGGGCCTTCAAGGCCAACTAGGTTCTCAAGAAAGATCTCCCTCCTTAGACAACCTGACAAGACATGTAACAGCCTCAGTCTGAAAAAAGGGCAGAGTTTCACCTAAAAAGCCTTCACCATTCACAGTCTCCCCCCACACCCATAGTTTTAGCTCCTGCAGCCATCTCCCTAGCCCCTGGGTGTCATGTACTTGACACGAAGACACCAAGGGAGGAAACCACAGGCAGAATGACTCTGACAACACTCAGGGACCACATGAGGGCAAGGGAAAGCAAGGCTTTGTCTAAGCCCGTAGTGATCATGCCTTCATGGCCCATCACCTCTCTCAATCCATGGTGGGCCCCATCTTGAAGCAGACAGAAATGTAGGTATGAAACCGCCAAAAAACACAGCCGCGAGGTGGCACCTGCCCTGCGGGAACAGCTGTACTGCAGCCCCCTGCCAGTCGCCCAAATCAATGGGGGTCACCAACCGTGCTCTGCTCCCACTCAGAAGACATTATTAACCACAAACTAGGGGAGGGCACAGGGATTTCTGAAGCAAGTGATGTAGCAAGTACAAAGCTAAAAGGGAAGGGCCGTAAAGCAAATCCCTGGTCGATGGGCTGGTGCAAGCTCTCTGAGGCTAGCCCCATCACAGAGAGGGACAGTTCAGGTGTTCAGCCTTGTTTTGCCCCACTTGCGGCAAAGGTCTCCAACTTCATCAGGGCAACAGTAAATGATCCAAAATGATTCCCACCAGTGAAGCACTTTGCTTTCCCACCACTGCCACAGCAAACTCTGCAGAGAGGGATAAGAGGGACAACCATACCCAGCTGCTACTGGCCTTCTTTAGAAGAAACCTGCTGCCATATTACGGCTCACTGTGGGGTGAGGTTTGCCTCCTGGCTTCACCCTCTGCCTGTGTGACTAGACAGTTTTACCTTGCTCAGGGCAGCTGTGTACATCCACATACGCCTCTAGTGGGTTGGCAGACTTGGGAGTAAAGAGATGAGAGGGGAAAACAATTCTCCGTGTTTCACCTAAATTCAGCATATTATTTCCGGATCAGAGCGAGCCTACTGAGGTACGCTGCTAGGAAAAAGGGCCTTAAGAAAAAGAGATTTTGTTACTGCCTTTAACCACGTGCCCAAGGGTATAGAGACGATAGAGCCCAGGCTCTTCTCCAAGGTGTGCTGGGATACGACAAGAGGCAGCAAGTAAAGATTAGAACAAGTGAAGTGTTGGATCTGATACAAGGAAAAACAAAGGTGATCAAACACTGGAACAGAGGTCATGGGCTCTCCAACCTTGGGCATATTAAAAACTTGACTGGAGAAGGTCATGAGCAACCTGTTGCAGGGCAGGGGTTGGACTAGAGACCTCCGGAGGTCCTGCCTGACTTTAATTAGTCTGTGAGTCTATCAGTGGTGGAGCAAAGCTGGTTCCCACCATCACAGCAGTTATGCTACCTTCAAAAGTGACCCTGAACCCCTGTGTTCTTCTTCTGATCATCTTCTACTGCAGAGCCAGGGACATCAGCTGCAGTGTGCTCTGGAGGTGGCACATGCCCAGCAGGAAGGTTTTCCAGAAACATCAAGTCCCTCTGCGTCCTGGGCAGAGGAGTGGTCGTTGCAATGGCACAGAGGCAGAAAGATAGGAACATCCCCAAGTGTTCCCCACAAGGAAGGAGGGAGGTATAAATTCCTCCCTTGCAAAGGGCTCAGCCGAGCCAGCCCAGTGAGTCAAGGATTACTGTTCTGATTGCTTTTCTAAGAGGAGATTAATTTCAGTGTACATTTCAGATAATCCAGAATCACTCCTGAAGTGGCAGAAGTAATTTTAGATGAAGTTTGGCAGGGGAGAGGGGAAAGTAAAGGAAAACTTTTGTTCCGAGTGAAATGACCCCTCCTGGTCAGGCCACTCTCAGGCTGGGCCACCACAAAACCTCCTTCTGGCTGAGAAATCCATCTTTGTGCTGCCACCAAGTATCCTGCTACCCTACGTCATAATCTCTTAGAAGTGTCAACACACTTTTAACATTTGCTGCTGCTTTCCATGCTGCACAAGTGATGGCTGCTCTCAGACATATTTTCAGAATTCTGTAGTTCTTCCTCAAACACAGAACTCCTTGAATTTCTGTCACCTTGTGGCTGCTCTGCAGAAATGCCTTTGTAGCAAGCGTGCAGGATTCAAACTGCGAGCCCTCTGAAACACTTAAGCATCTACGGTCCTGCGGAATTTAAGCTACTAGGAAGACTATGGCATTTACTTAAAACTCGGTTAGTTTTACAGCTAAACTGATTAATTTAGTTCATAGTTATCACCTAGAATGAACCTGAAAGAAGTAACTGAAGGAACCAATTTGTCCAGAAAAAAGAAACACAATCACAGAATCACAGCATAGTTGAGGTTGGAAGGGACCTCTGGAGATCACCTAGTCCAACCCATGCTCCTAGAGCAGGTTGCCCAGGACCATGTCTAGATGGCTTCTGAGTATCTCCAAGGATGGAGACTCCACCACCTCCCTGGGCAACCTGTGCCAGTGCTCGGTCACCCTCACAGTGAAAAAGTGTTTCCTGGTGTTCAGGGGGAACCTCCTGAGCGTCAGTTTGTGCCCGTCGCCTCTGGTCCTGTCACTGGGCCCGGCTCCGTCCTCTGTGTGCCCTCCCTTCAGGTATTTATACACATTGATGAGGTCCCCCCGAGCCTTCTCTTCTCCAGGCTGAGCAGTCCCAGCTCTCTCAGCCCCTCCTCACAGGAGAGATGCTCCGGTCCCTTCATCACCTGTGTGGCCCTTTGCTGGACTCTCGCCAGTAGCTCCATCTCTTTTTTATATTGGGGAGCCCAGCACTGGACACGGTGCTCCAGGTCTGGCCTCACCAGTGCGGAGTAGAGGGGAAGGATCACCTCCCTCGACCTGCTGGCAACACTCCATCTCAATGACACGACACTTTGTCATAGCAACAAAAAAACCCCAACAAACGGGCAGTATTTCTAAAAATTTCAAAGGAGAAAAATACTCAGAAAAGATACTGTCAACATTTTCAGTAATTCCGCGCTCTGCTTTTCTGTCAGTGCTGAGCACAATCTTTTTTTTGGGGGGATCGGGAACAGCATCACAATTTAAAATTTTTGATTCTTCTTCCTGACATCCTTTCTGATATATTGGAAAGGATCAACAGGATTGGTGAGTACGGAGTTTTTGCTTTTTTAACCACCTCTAATAATCACACAAATCGATTTTATTTTGTCCTGATGCAAGGCTGGGTTTTCTTCAGATCTAGTTTCTTTTGTGGGTTCTCCTTTGGATTTGAAGTCCAAATGCACATTTTCCGTATGAGTAACAACCCCTGCTCTATGCCGAAATGGGTCTCCCCAACGTGTTTTTATGATACGTGTATGCTGTCTACCTCAGCATCTCCCCAGTCACACTGCCTGTGCGAGAGTTCACCTCTGTAGGTAAGGGCACTGTATGCTCGAGGCGAGAGGCCAGCAGTCCCGTGTAACCTTAAGCACAGTGAGGTTTGAGAAACGCAACCGAGATAGAGATCACGGCACACAGACACCCAAGGAGAGCTCACCAGACGAGCACGCCGGCTGAGCAGCACAATGGAAATCAACCCCTCCATCCCTCCGCCCTTGTCACGAGTGAACAGAAATAGAACAAGAGCGGGAGAAGGGCAACGTTATCAGCAAAGCAGAGGGCTGAGAACAAGCGTTTGATACTCAAGCGTACTAGCATCCTGCTTTTAAAGTAAAACTGACATAAACCCACTGCAAATGGGCTTTCAGAGTTGGGTTTGGTTTCAGGCATTCCCACACCACGCCTGGTTGAAGAAACGTAAGGTATCTGCTGGCATCTTTTACATACCAGCAGACTTGCTGCAGTCTGCTTGCCGTCCCTTGACGTTGATACCCAATAAAAGAAATGCTAAGGAGACATACGGTTCTCTTTGTCGAAACAAAATAGCTAAATGTTCCGTGGATAGACTGGGCACTCCCCAGCTAAAAGGAAGCCTTGGAGCTCTGTGTACAGGGGTGGAATAGATAAGGAAGTCATGCTGAAATCAGCCAGCTAGTGCAGCTGGGCCAAAAGACAAACTGTGCAGGTGAAAAGACTGAGTTCAATTAGCGGACACGGTGAGGAAGACTATTGCCCACCACCAGAGGACCCTGAAAGACCACCAATGGACATAAGAGCGCATGCGTTAAAGACTTTTACATGTGTTAATGAGTTGCAGGAAATAACATGAATATGCTAATGAAATCTAATGAATATGTATATTCTGATTCTACATGACTCTGGTCATCGAGCGCTTCGGCGCA